TTTCTTCCGCAAATTATTTATTTCTGCATTTGTTAGGCTTACCTAGTCATAGGGACTAGTTGCCGTCAAGACAGTTCACGGAGGGCGAACTGGGGGTCCTGACACCAACCCAACCAAACTATCAATTGAAATTGTGGCTAACAAGTTTTGCCAAAACAAATAAGCCAGTCTGAATTGGAAATTAGCATCAAGATTTTGTTTGTAATTTGAAGGGAAAAAATTGAGTTGAGATAAAGGGGTATATATTTTGATTCAACCTTTGCAAAAGGTGATTTTGAGCAGGCGTTCGATAACATTCCTACCTACGAGGGCAAGAACATGAACTTAAATCTTAGAATTCATAGGTGGGCACAAATTAAAATTCCTCCAATTTCTCTTCTCTTCCCTCCATCTAAAAATATATTTTGGAAAAACAAGTGGGTAAACAGAAGAAAAAAGTGTGGTAACTTATGTCCGAAATTGATTCTCTGATTCTCTCCATGAATGACCATGACTAATTCTTTTAGGTTTTTTTTTTTTATTTTTTTTTGCAATATACAGTAACAGTCATAAAGATTTCCTTGCTACTTCCAGAATAATAGTGGCATCACGACAGGTTCTAAAGAAACTAATATAGCAAAAACAGTTGTGGGGGGGAGGGGGGGGAGAAGAAGCAGTTGCGTGGAGAAGGGAGAGAAAGGGTTTGTGGGAGAAGAAGGGATGGGAGAGGGTTTTCTATTTCTTTTCTTTTTTAATTACAGTTGTCAATTTTTATAAAAATTACTCGTGTCACATATTTATTTGTTCATTTGACACGTCACAGGGGTGTGAATTACACACATGTTTGTATTTTGACTACCTATTAACTTTGTGTCTAAATGACACATTTGATATATGGTTGGAGTGTTCAAATGGAACAGACTTAAAATAGAGTGCTTAAGTGAAAAGTGAGGACAAGTTTAATGGGGTGTCGATGTATTCTGCCTGCATATTATTCCGCTGCTAGTTGTAGTAATAGAAGATATTAGATCTTTTCTTTATTTATAGTCCCAATAGCAATCACTTTCGCGAATACTTTAGAAACTAAATAAACTTTTTTGAGACTTACTGCGACACAATACCTTATTGATAATCAATTTTATTTCTCCAAAATAGTAACAATTGGCTCTTCTGGAGCTCTCAATTAATTTTATACCACATATTTATCAAAATCCATATGGTGCATATATCTTTCAAAGAGAGACTTATACTATTATGGTCACTGTCAAAATCATTATAGGCAAGATATGTTGCTTCCATTACTTTTGCCATGTAATAATCATATTGCCATAATATTTTGGCATAATCTCAAGAGGTACGTGATCAATTATAATTCCTGCCTTAATAATGAAATTATTTTCTTATTTCATCTCAAACCTCCTTCTAGAGTTGAGTGTGGTATATTCACTACCACTAGCATGTTCATATTCTTTCAAAAATGAATATGTATTCATAAATCACATGTTGTCACATTCAGATCATGAATGGACCATAAGCATCTATATGTGCTTTATGAATCTCATGTAAAATCGATGACAAACATTAATTTTACTGAGTGAATGATTATTTTAAAAATTCTTATTGGTCTCACTACCATAACGATGACGATTATAATTTCGTCTATTGCCGCTTCCACATCTATTGATACCTTCACCGTAATAATTTTGTCTTTGTTCAAACTTATTACATATTGCTAGCACATTATCTTAAGGGAACGAGAAAGAAGCAAACTCAATGGGATGAGTTTTCACTTCTTGTGCTTATAATCATACATGAATTTGATCATAGCAAGACATAAAATTTTACCACAACGGGTGGTTATAATTTCTCACAACTCTATTAGAGTTATAATCAAAATTTATTGTCTTTGCTTGTATTTAAAATCAAATTATAGAATTTTAAGATTTTAAAAGAGAAAAATAAGGTAAAATACTTACCCTAAATTTAGAATTTATTCTTAAATGAAGTTCATGGATCAATTGACAATCTTGAGCACCATGCATGTATCCCAAAGCTTGGTTACCAAAGCAGATGCCTAGTATTTGAATATCAATACATTCACGTAAGAGCCTCACAAATTCTTATATCTTCTATGCACAGGTGGTTTAATTTCTCAAACATTGGACAACTAATTAATAGGATATCTAGAAATTAAAATAAAAGACTCTACTCAATCGGTTAGAGTCTCGTGCTGATAACGTGTTATAAAACAGTAAAAGAAGAAAAGAGTATTAGAGAGAAAATTCTTATTGATTTGGATGATTTACAATGAAATATGGCATCTTTATTTATAGGGAAAAAGTAACTTAATCACCAAATAACAAACTCTAAAATCTTTATAAAAAATAGACACTTACCTTAGATATAATTTTTTTATAATATAAAGAAACTTGTAATCTTTTTTGTAAGTGCTAAAATTACCAAAGCAAGTGTTTTTCAAATTTCTCAGACACATGAACATCGTCCAAAAAGCAAACTCCACGTACTTCTTATCAGAAAATGAATAGCTTTTGCCGGAAAATTATCGATGAACTTTTCTTTTCATTTTTCAGATCAGTGACCCCCCATATCTTCACCTTCTTCCTCAAACTTCTTCAATATTTCCATCATCCAAATACCAACCAACCCAACCAAACTATCAATTGAAATTGTGACTAACAATTTGCCAAAACAAATCAGCCAATCTTGATTGGAAACTAGCATCAAGATTTTGTTTGTAATTTGAAGGGAAAAAATTGAGTTAAGGAAAAAGGGGTATATATTTTCATTCAACCTTTTCAAAAGGTGATTTTGAGCGGCCGTTCGATAACTTTCCTATCTAAGAGGGCAAGAACATGAACTTAAATCTTAGAATCCATAGGTGGGCACAAATTAAAATTCCTCTAATTTCTCTTCTCTTCCCTTCATCTAGAAATATATTTTGGAAAAACAAGTGGGGAAACAGAAGAAAAAAGTGTGCTAACTTATGTCCGAAATTGATTTTCTGATTCTCTCCATGAATGACCATGACTAATTCTTTCAAGTTATTTTTTTTTTTTGCAATATAGGTAACAGTCAAAAAGATTTCCTTGCCGCTTCCAGAATAATAGTGGCATCACGACAGGTTCTAAAGAAACTAATATAGCAAAAACGGTTGTGGTGGTGGGGGTGGGGGGGGGGGGTGAAGAAGCAGCTACGTGGGGAGGGGAGAGAAAGGGTTTGTGGGAGAAGAAGGGATGAGAGAGGGTTTTCCATTTTTTCTTTTCTTTTTTAATTACAGTTGTCAATTATTATGAAAATTACACGTGTCAGATATTTATTTGTTTATTTGACACGTCACAAGGGTGTGAATTACACATATTTGTATTTTGACTGCCTATTAATTTTGTGTCTAAATAACACATATGATATATGGTTGGAGTGTTCAAATGGAACAAAATAAAAATAGAGTGCTTAATTGAAAAGTGATGACAAATTTAATGGGATGCCGATGTATTCTGCATACATATTATTCCGCTGCTTGTTGTAGTAATAGAAGATATTAGATCTTTCCTTTATTTATAGTCTCAATACCAATCGCTTTCGGGAATACTTTAGAAACTAAATAAACTTTTTTGAGACTTACTATGACACAATACCTTATTGATAATTAATTTTATTTCTCCAAAATAGTAACAATTGGCTCTTCTGGAACTCTCAATTAATTTTATACTACCACATATTCATCAACATCCATGTAGTGCATATATCTTTTAAAGAGAAACTTATACCATTATGGTCACTGTCAAAATCATTATAGGTAAGATATGTTGCTTCCATTACTTTTGCCATGTAATAATCATATTGCCATAATATTTGGCGTAATCTCAATAGGTACGTGATCAATTATAATTCATGCCTTAATAATGAAATTATTTTCTTATTTCATCTCAAACCTCCTTCTAGAGCTGAGTGTGGTATATTCACTACCACTAGCATGTTCATATTCTTTCAAAAATGAATATGTATTCATAAATCACATGTTGTCACATTCAGATCATGAATGGACCATAAGCATCTATATGTGCTTTACGAAATCTCATGTCAAATCGATGACAAACATTAATTTCACTGAGTGAATTATTATTTTGAAAATTCTTATTGGTCTCACTACCACAACGATGACAATTATAATTTCGTCTATTGCCGCTTCCACATCTATTGATACCTTCACCGCAATAATTTTGTCTTTGTTCAAACTTATTACATATTGCTAGCACATTCTCCTAAGGGAACGAGAAAGAAGCAAACTCAATGGGATGAGTTTTCACTTCTTGTGCTTATAATCATACATGAATTTGATCATAGCAAGACATAAAAACTTTACCACAACAGGTGATTATAATTTCTCACAACTCTATTAGAGTTATAATCAAAATTTTGTTGTCTTTGCTTGTATTTAAAATCAAATTATAGAATTTCAAGAATTTAAAAGAGAGAAATAAAGTAAAATACTTACCCTAAATTCAAAATTTATTCTTAAAAGAAGTTCATGGATCAATTGACAATCTTGAGCACCATGCACGCATCCCAAAGCTTGGTTACCCAAAGCAGATGCCTAGTATTTGAATATCAATACATTCACGTAAGAGCCTCACAAATTCTTATATCTTCTATGCACGGGTGGTTTAATTTCTCAAACATTAGACAACTAATTAATAGGATATCTAGAAATTAAAATAAATGACTCTACTCAATTGGTCAGAGTCTCGTGCTGGTAACGTGTTATAAAACAGTAAAAGAAGAAAAGAGTATTAGAGAGAAAAGTAGAGAGAAAATTCTAATTGATTTGGATGATTTACAATGAAATATGACATCTCTATTTATAGAGAAAAAGTGACTTAATCACCAAATAACAAACTCTAAAATCTTTATAAAAAATAGACACTTACCTTAAATATAATTTTCTTTTATAATAGAAAGAAACTTGTATATCTTTTTTGTAAGTGCTAAAATGACCAAAGCAACCTAAGCATTTTGTATGGCCAAAATGATCCCCATATCCATCTTTTACTCTTTCAGAGTTCAGACGATACAATTAAGCTGCTGCTGCTACTTGCATGGCTTCACTGCCCATTAACCCCAATATAAACCCACATACCCTTACCCTTAAACCCAAAACATCGCTCAACATCCCCCACACTCATTTCATAACTTACCAAGAAGATGGCAGAAACGATAAACTTCTCCATAAATCTTACTTCAAACGCATTGGATCTCTATGCAAAGAAGGTCAACTTCAAGAAGCTGCGGACCTTCTCAACGAAATGGAGTACCGAAATCTGTACGTTGGACCTGAGTTCTATGGTGAACTCCTCCAAGGCTGTGTGTACGAGCGAGACCTTCAATTGGGTCAGCAAATTCATTCAAAGATTCTGAAGAAAGGTGATTTCTTTGCCAAGAATGAGTACATTGAGACAAAGCTTGTGATTTTCTACGCAAAGTGTGATGCTTTTGATGTTTCCAACCATCTGTTTCGCAGACTGAGAAAACAGAATGTGTTTTCTTGGGCTGCAATTATTGGACTAAGTTGCAGGATGAATTTGTCAGAAGAAGCTTTGTGGAGATTCGTTGAAATGCTAGAAAATGGCGTTTTGGGCGACAATTTTGTTCTCCCAAATGTTCTGAAAGCTTGTGGTGCCCTAAATTTTGTTGATTTTGGGAAATGTGTTCATGGGCATGTCTGTAAATTCGGTTTTGAAGATTGTGTATTTGTAGCGAGTAGTCTCATTGATATGTATGGAAAATGTGGGGTTTTGACTGATGCAAGAAAGGTATTTGATTGTATGGGTGAAAGAAATGTAGTGGCCTGGAACTCAATAATTGTGAGTTATATGCAAAACGGATACAATGAGGAAGCTATTGGAGTCTTGTACGATATGAGGACAGAAGGAATTGAACCAACTCGTGTAACTCTGTCAAGCCTTCTTTCAGCTTCAGCCAACTTATGTGCTTTGGAAGAAGGTAAGCAAGCGCATGCTATATCTATTCTGAGTGGATTAGATTTAGATAAGATTTTGGGGAGTTCTCTTATAAACTTTTATGCTAAAGTTGGTTTGGTTGATGATGCTGAGCTAATATTTGATAGGCTGATTGAGAGAGATGTGGTAACATGGAACTTGTTAATGTCTTGTTATGTACAATCTGGTCGGATTGACAAGGCTCTCAGCTTGTCTTGTTTGATGAGATTGAAAGGCTTTAGGTTTGACTCTGTGACACTGTCATCAATATTATCTGCCTCAGCAGATTTAAGGAATTTAAAGCTTGGCAAAGAGGGTCACTGTTTTTGTATCAGACACAATTTTGACAAGGATGTAGTTGTAGCTAGTGGTATTATAAATATGTATGCCAAATGTGAGAAAATCCCTGATGCAAGACGGGTTTTTGACTACACCAAAGAGAAAGATGTAATTTTGTGGAATACATTATTGGCTGCTTATGCAGAAGTGGGTTTGAGTGGCGAGTCGTTAAGATTATTTTACCAGATGCAGCTCTATGGTCTACCGCAAAATACCATATCTTGGAATTCCGTAATTCTTGGTTTCTTAAGAAATGGACAGATAAATGAGGCCATAGACATGTTTTCACAAATGAAAGCTGTTGGTTTAGACCCTAATATAGTTACTTATACTACTCTTATCAGTGGTCTATCTCGAAATGATTACAGTAGTGAGGCCCTTACATATTTTAAAAAACTGCTTCAAGCAGGGTATCGACCAAATAGTGCAAGTATTGTTGCTTCCCTCTCAGCTTCTATAAATATAGCATCACTGCACCATGGAAGAGCCATCCACGGATACATTTTAAGGCAAAAGATTTCATTATCTCTTCCAGTGGCAACTTCATTAGTTGATATGTATGCTAAATGCGGAAATCTAAACTATGCGAAATGCATTTTTAATCTGATCCCAGAAAAGGAGTTGCCCTTGTATAATGCTATGATATCTGGTTATGCTTTACATGGATGTGCTGTAGAAGCTCTTGCATTGTTCAAACGTCTATGCAAGGGAGGCGTGGAACCCGACAGCATAACCTTCACTAGTGTCCTATCCTCTTGTTGTCATGCTGGACTGGTAAAAGAAGGTTTAGCTGTTCTTTATGACATGGTCTCTTTGTATAATATGAAGCCAAGTTTGGAACATTATGGTTGTATCATCAGTCTTCTCTCTAGGTGCGGTGATCTCTATGAAGCTATGCAGCTCATTCAGAAGATGCCTTTCAAACCTGATGCAAATGTTTTTGAATCACTACTTGTGGCTTGTAGAGAACTCGGAGAGACACAACTCGAGGAACATATAGCTAATTTTTTAATTATCATGGAACCAGATAATTCAGGACACTATGTCTCACTTTCAAATGCATATGCAACAACTGGAAGATGGGATGAAGTCTCAAAACTAAGGGATTTGATGAAAAAAAAGGGTCTTAGGAAAAGACCTGGATGCAGTTGGATTCAAGTTGGAACAGAGTTTCATATGTTTGTTTCAGGAGACAGGTGGCATTCACACATACAGGAAATAAGTACAATATTGGCTTTGCTGGATAGGGAAATGCAGCTTACTAGACTCTCTTTCGACAGCTGAGGGTATCAATTTCATGCCGTAGGTACATTGTTACCTTTGCAAACTAAGCTCATGTTAATCAGATACTTTCAAGGTTAAAGATGGCTTGAGGACGAGAAAAGCCCCAACATAAGAGAGTGTCAAAGCCTGTGAAATAAGATATATGTATTCGTCTTCAGGAGTCTACATTAAAGCTTTTATGCTGGACCAATTCTCCTGATGGATCAGAGAATTAGAGGAGACAACATTATGCTTTGTGAGTGAAATGATTTCTTCAACGTTGCGAGAATGCACGGGAGAAAATATTATTGATATTATTCTCATATGTTAAACATGATACAATGAGCCCTATACATAATATGTCATACTCCTAATACACATGAGATTAGCGTTATTTACTACTCCCTCTGTTTCAGTTTATGTGAACCTATTTTCTTTTTTGTCCGTTCCAAAAAGAATGAACCCTTTCTAAATTTGATAACAATTTAGCTTAAACTTATAACTCTACCCTTAATGAGAAACTTTTATAACCACACAAATACTCTGGGCCCCATTTGGACTTATTTAGGACCACAAATTCCAAAAGTCTTCATTTTTTTCTTAAACTCCGTGCCCAGTCAAACAGGTTCACATAAATTGGAACGGAGGGAGTACTATTTATATAACTATTCTAACACTCCCCCTCAAGCTGGTGCATATAAATCATATGTACCGAGGACCAGCGAGTGACTTGGTGAAAATATCTGTAAGCTGATCATTCGACTTCGCAAACATTGTAGCAATATCTCCCGAGAGTATCTTTTCTGTGACAAAGTGACAGTCAATCTCAATGTGTTTAGTTCTCTCATGGAACACTGGATTTGACGCAATATGAAGAGTAGATTGATTATCACACACAAGTCTCATCTGACTAATCTCACCAACTCATGGAACACTAGATTTGACGCAATATGAAAAGCAGCTTGATTATCACACACAAGTCTCATCTGACTAATCTCACCAAATTTTAACTCCTTGAGCAACTGTTTGATCCAAAGTAGCTCACATGTCGCCATAGCCATTGGTCGATATTCTGCTTCTGCACTAGGTCGAGCAACCACATTGTGTTTCTTGCTCTCCCAAGACACCAAATTTCCTCCTACTAAGACATAATATCCAGACGTAGAACGTCTATCAGAAGGTGATCCTGCCCAATCAGCATCTGAGTATCCAACGATCTGCTCATGGCCTCGATCCTCAAACAATAGACCTTTGCCTGGAGCTGATTCTATATACCGAAGAATGCGAACAACTGCATCCCAATGACTATCACACGGAGAATCCATAAACTAACTCACAACACTCACAGGAAAGGAAATATCAGGTCTTGTCACTGTAAGGTAATTTAATTTACCAACCAACTGCCTATATCTTGCAAGATAGCTAAGAGGCTCCCCCTATCTTGGCAGAAATTTAGAATTCGGATCCATCGAAGTGTCAACAGGTCTACAACCTGTCATTCCTGTCTCCTCAAGAATATCTAAGGCATACTTCTGTTGTGAGATCACAAAACCTGAGCTAGACCGAGCGACCTCCATACCCAGAAAATACTTTAGTTTGCCCAGGTCATTAGTCTGAAAGTGTTGAGAGATTTTGCTTCAATTTAGTAATACCATCATGATCATTGCTGGTAATAACAATATCATCAACATAGACCACCAGATAAATACAGAGACTTAAAGCAGAGTGCCGATAAAATATAGAGTGATCAGCTTCACTCCGAGTCATGCCAAACTCCTGGATAACTGTGTTGAACTTACCAAACCAGGCTTGAGGAGACTGCTTTAGACCGTAAAGTGACCGGCGCAAGCGGCATACAAGGCCACGAGACTCCCCCTGAGCAACAAACCCAGGTGGCTGCTCCATATAAACTTCATCCTCAAGGTCACCGTGTAAAAAGGCATTCTTAATGTCCGGCTGATAGAGAGGCCAATGGCGAACAGTAGCCATGGATAGAAAAAGGCGGACTGATGCTACCTTAGCTACGGGAGAGAAGGTATCACTGTAATCGAGCCCAAATATCTGAGTATATCCCTTGGCAACAAGACGGGCCTTAGGGCGATCAATCTTGCCATCCGGACCAACCTTGACTGCATATACCCAGCGACAACCAACAGTAGATTTGCCTGAAGGAAGAGGAATGAGCTCCCAAGTACCACTCGTATGTAATGCAGACATCTCGTCAGTCATAGCCTGTTGCCATCCTGGATGAGACAATGCTTCACCTGAGACTTAGGGATAGAAACAGAGGACAAAGAAGATTTAAAAGCATAATAGAGTGATGACAAACGATGATAACTTAAACTGACATAATGGGAATTAGGATTAAGGGTGGTTCGCATACCTTTCCGAAGTGCAATCGGTGTACTAGGAAGAAACAAGGAGGAGGCTCAGGTGCAGGACGTGAATCAGTTGGGCCTGATGCTGGGTGCGGACGACGATGATATGTCAAGAGTGGTGTTCCTGTGGCGGGGAGTCTAGGAGGAGCCACACTAGACTCCCTAACGGTTGGAATGGGTAAGACTTCTGTGGCAGAAGGTGAAGGAGGAGCAATAGTAAACTCCTTAAAGGTCGGTATAGGTAAGACCTCAGCTATATCAAGGTGGTCAGAATGGTCAGAAGAGGTAAAGAAAGGTTTAGACTCAAAAAATGTGACGTCAGATGACATAAAGTACCTACGAAGATCAGGTGAGTAACAACGATATCCCTTCTGAACACGAGAATAACCAAGGAAGACACACTTGAGAGCACGAGGAGCTAAATTATCTTTCCTAGGGGCTAAGTTATGAACGAAACATGTGCTCCCAGAAACACGAGGGGGAACAGAGTATAAGGGTGATTGGGGAAACAATACTGCATATGGAATATGATTCTGGATGGGAGATGAAGGCATCCGATTAACCAAATAACAAGCTGTGAGAACTGCATCGCCCCAAAAATGCAACGGAATATGAGATTCAATGAGAAGTGTGCGAGCAGTCTCAATGATGTGCCTATTCTTTCTCTCTGCAACCCCATTTTGCTGAGGGGTATAAGGACAAGAGGTCTAACGAATAATTTCTTGAGAAGTCATAAACTGCTGAAATTGGGAGGATAAATATTCTAAGGCATTATCACTGCGAAAAGTGCGAATAGAAACACCAAATTAATTTTTTATTTCAGCACAAAAATAGTGGAAAATAGAAAACAACTCAGAATGATCTTTCATTAAGAAAATCCAAGTACATCTTGAATGATCATCAATGAAACTAACAAAATAACGAAATCCCAAGGTTGAACTGACTCTACTAGGACCCCATATATCAGAATGATCTAAAGAAAAAACAGACTCTGCATGACTCTCAATACTACAAGGAAAGGAGGCTCGAGTATGTTTCCCGAGCTGACATGACTCACACTCTAATATAGATAAACTAGACAAACTAGGCACCATCTTCTGAAGCTTGGATAAGCTTGGATGTCCTAAACGTTTGTGAATGAGGTCCGGAGGATCTGTAACTAGACATGCCTTAGAGGAATTGAGTGAGTTAAGGTAGTAAAGGCCTTCTGATTCAAGTCATGTACCAATCGTATGTCTCGTACTGCGGTCCTGCATAATAAAAGAATCATCAATAAAATATATACCACAATGGAGGGCATGAGTCAAACGACTAACAAATGCAAGATTAAAGGGACAGCCATGGACATAAAGAACGGAATCTAGAGTGACAGAGGGTAGGGGATTCGCTTGTCCAACTCCTTTTGCTTTGGTTTGAGACCCATTGGCTAAAGTAATAGTGAGAAGAGACTGTGAATACGCAATATTTGACAAAAGTGATTTATTACCAGTGATATGATCAGAAGCGGCTGAGTCCACAACCCATTGTCCAAGAGGACTAGACTGGGAAACACAAGCAAAAGAATTTCCAGCAACAGAAGTATCAGTCTGAGCAACAGAGGCTACTTGTGGAGATGTCTGCTTACTTGCTCGATACTGAAGGAAATCATTATACTTCCCTTCAGATAAAGAAAATCCTTGGTTACCTGTAGTCTCGGTCTGAGAAACATAAGCATTTTTGGGTGGGCGGCCATGTAAAGAATAGCACACGTCACGAGTGTGTCCAAGTTTATGACAATAAGAGCACTTGGGTCTGGATCTTCCAAAACGACCTCCTCATATATTCTCCATAGTATGAGATGCCCGATTGTCCACTGCTGGGATGCAAGAACAGATGAGTCAAGTGTCTTTGATGAGATCACGGGGTAACTTGGTACTGCGGCAAGGCGAAGTAATCGAGAGAATAATTCATCAACTGTGGGGACAGTCGGACTAGCCAAAATTTGATCGCGTACTGAGTCAAGAACATTAGGAAGCCCAGCAAGAGTAAGAACTAGAAACATCTTTTGTCGCTACTCTTGCTGCTTTTCAACACTAGCAGAAACTGGCATCAACATCTAAAATTCCTCCATGACTGCATGTAGTTGTCCCAAGTAAGTAGACATATCTAATTCATGTTTCTTTAAATTTGTCATCCGCGATATCACATCATAGAAACGAGATATGTCATTAGTGTATAAACTGGCAGCCCTTTCCCAAACCAAATAACATGTCTCAAATGGACGAAACAAGGGCATCAACTTGGAATCAATAGATCGCTACAGAGTACTGCATAATTGATTAGTTGATCTTCTCCCAAAGTGCTTTGGCATTTTCATCTCCTTCACTAGACTTCGTGATTAGTTGATCATGAACACACTGACCTTTACACCACAACTCGACAGATGAAGCCCAAGCTAGGTAGTTTGAACTTCCCACTAAAGGTTCTGAGGTAATCATAACATCGGAACTGCCAGAACCCGAGTTTTTCGACCCGAAAGCATCGACTCCCAAAGACATCGTTGGATTGAAGTGAGGTCTATAAAATTATCACCAAATACCAGAAAGAATCAATTGAAAACTCGCTGAAACAGAAGAAGGAAGCAATGCTTTTGCCGGAAAATTATTGTAGCTGCCGGAAAAAAATCAGTGTAGTCATTGGAAAAACTCAAAGTGGTCGTAATCAAACGAAAAAGGTATGGATAGACTCGGAATTACTAGGCGATCCGACTGTCCAACTGGAAGTTTTTCAAAATCTGGCCGGAACAGGGCTCACGCGCCGGTGCGTGGCCGCGTGGATCAGATCTCGCCGGAAAATTTCTTCCTTTTCCGGCGGGTGAGGGCGCGTGGAAGTGTGTTTTCTGGTGGGGTTGACTGGGGTTTGGTCGCCGGAACCTGAGGAGTCTTGTGGTGGTGTTGGTTTTTTGCACACACCAACAGAAAATAATGTGATTACGGACAACCTTCTAAGTCGCCGGAAAATTGCACGGCGATGAGGTCTTTCTT